GGGAGCTTAGAAATATTGAGATCTGTGTGTGTGTGTGTGTGTGTTTGACTGTGTGTGTGTGTGTGTGTGTGTGTGTGTGTGAGAGAGAGGAGAGAGGAGAGAGAGAGAGAGAGAGAGAGAGAGAGAGAGAAACCAGGCAATCAGATTCTTGCTCCAGCATTTTAACTTCCACAGAGTCCATGGCAACAATTCTCTGGCCTCATTTCTCCCCCTTACTAGTAACTGCTCCTGAGGGTTGAGGGAATTGTAACCCCGTTTCTGCTGGCGTCAGAGGGCCCGGGAAGCAGTGCAGGTTGAGGGCTGAAGAAACCAATAATGCTTTGACACCCTGGAGGGCATCCGAAGGTCATTTCAGATTGTTTGGGGGAGTATATTGCATGCCTTAACTGGAGTTCATGTAGCACCCCCTTTCCCCAGGGTCCACTCACTGCCCCAAACCCAGGGTCTCAATTTCCTTTAGCACTCTATCAGGAGTCTGGAAAGAGCTATTCTGAAAGTCCACAAAAGTCAGGATTTCCCAGCATTGTCAGGGAGGTCCAGAACAGGCATTCTAGACCACAGCGTTCGGCCCTCGAAGCCTGGCTTTCTCTCATTCTAGCCTGGCTTGGGTGAATAGCTCAGTTTCATGCAGCACCAACCAAAGAAAGGAAAGGAAGAGCAAGAATCAACCCGTACCTGGCAAAGCAGTTTCTCTTTTGTTGATAACCTAAAACACCAGATTCTGACCTTCACCTGAGCTTAATACTTACCATATAAAAGGCCACAATTTAAAGCTCAGCGTGCTACAAAACATAATTATGGGGGGGGGGGTCCTTGAGAGAAAGTGCAGGAAATTTAAGTTCCAAGGTTGAGAGTGCGGCTCATTAGTGTGCACCTACTTACTGACATGTTCATGGCTCTGGGTTTGATCCCCAACACTATTAGTCATTAATTTTTAAAAAAGAAAAAGAAAAAAATCAAGTTCCAAGTCCATCAGGATCCTTTAGGCTCCTCACACTCACCCCACTCTTTGGGGAGGGGCTCTCCCTATCACACTCACCCTGAGGAACTGTCCCCTTGTCCACATCCTCAGCAGCAGTGGCATGTCACCATGTGGGGGTGACATCTAGTTCATGCTTACATGCCTGGCTCCCTAAATAAACTCTGAATGCTATAAAGACAGAGATAATATTGAGGCAGGAAAACGGAGACCAGGTAGAGCCAGGACCTCCGCCTGGTGAGGCCTCTGCAACTCCTCTTGTAATAATGCACTAGTCAGCCTAGTTCTTCTACCTGCACGTAGTAGGGACACACACTGCTCTACAAACAATGCACCTGACAGTCTCAGAACCCCTTGACCTCCCACCTACATCAGGCTACACCCAGTCCCATCTCTGAAGAATGATATGAGTTTCCTCACCCATGGTACCAATAAAATTTGGACAGTTTCATTCAAGGATAGCCCCAACATATCTATGTATAAAGAAGAGAAGCACCAATCCAGCCTGATCTAGTTTAGGGAGCATGTGCGATAAAACCATGTTCTCCAGTAACTTTTCAAGGAGAATCCTCTATTTATTTTCTTATGTCTGTGCATAATGTGGCAGGATATAATTAAAATCAGATGCATTATGGGAAGGGACTTGCACAGTAAAGATTATATAACCTAATCTATCAATCAAAATAGAGAACCACTCAAACTACATCCCTTAATAACCAGCCCTTCCTTCCTTTAGACCCCTTAAAAAGAGACCCCAGGCTGCAGCCTGGGGCCCAACTTTCACTCATTAGTCGCCCATTGTCAATATTGACAGTGCACTCTTCTTAATCTGTACTTTCACTTTGCTCAAAATGAAGTTATCTTGCTTTTTTTGTAGATCTGTGTGAGCTTTGTTTCAATTCTTTGGATAAGAGGACAAGAGCCTAGAAACATCCAGCCCTCACCGACCACCAGTAACACTATCACACACACACACCTTTATAGCTCACTGAGCGCACCCGTACATAGTGAGGAGGCTGACTACTAGAATCCAGTTCAGCTCCCAAATGTGTGCAACTCTGAGCCTCACAGGACCATCACCCTACTGAAAACACACCCTCCCATAGGCTGAGAGGGGAGGGACCTCTTCAGAGTCCCAGAGCTGAAAGTCAAAATGAAGGCTATGGATTTCCACAGCCTCTAAGATGATGTCAGCCCCTCAATCCCTTGGCTTGCTCCTCACTCAGCACTATCAGAGGTGACAGGGATGAGACACAGCTCCACAGGTCATATGCAAAAGCCTGAGGAATTCCCTTGTCTTTTAAGAACTCAGTTAGTATCAGACCCTAGGCTTCAACTCAGAAAAGAATTTCAGAACCAGCCAGTTTGAAGAAGAGTTGGAATTTATTTTTAAAAAAACATATTTGTACAGATTTTAAGCAAGAGGATTAAGAGGAAAGAGGCACTCTATATGAAAGGAAGGCCCAGATGGGAGTACAGGTGTGGGCTTCTCTGAGAGAGTCACACTATTGTCTTTTCAACAGTCCTAGACAGACATGGAAACTTGTTTTCAAAGAGTTGCTAAAACTTGTTCTAGCTTGCTTTCTTTTGCGGTGATAAACACCACGATCCAAAGCAACTCGGAGAATAAAGGGTTTATTTCACTTACAGGTTATAGTCCATCTTTGAAAGAAGTCAGGTCAGGAACTCAAGTAAGAAAGGAACTCCAGCAAGGTAGAACCTTGAAGCAGAAACCACAGAGGGAAGCTGGTTGCTTGCATGTTCCCTGGTTCAAGTTTATCTAGCTTTTGCATATAGCCCAGGCCTACCTGCCTAGTGATGGGCTGCCCATAGTGGGCTGGGCACTCTCTAATCAATCAATAACCAAGACAGTTCCCCTCATACATGGCCACAGGCCAAGATGATTTGGGCAACATTCAAATTAAGACTCCTTCAAATGAGTCTGGGCTCTGTCAAGCTGACAGTGTGAATAACTATGACATTCCACCTTTTGTCAACTAGACACACAAAAACATCAGTTTAAGCCATAATCTTTCTCTTCTTGTCTTATAGATCACATGTTAAATATTGTAAAATACAGTAGAACTTTAATAAGTCTCACGTTGTTGAATATTTTAACACTCTAGACATTCAGTGTCTCTTTAAAAGTCCAAAGCTTTTTTGTGTGTGCCTGTAAAATAAAAAATAAGTTTCTTATTTTCTTTTCAAGAGAAAATAACCAGGTCAGAATTACAATCAGATCAAAGCAAAACCAAACTCCAACAGTGTAAAACATTCAGTGACTGACACCTGGGCCTTACTCAAGATCTTCTGGGCTCCAAGGGGCTTTATTAATCCCACGTCTCTGCTTCCGCCATCCACAGCACACACAGCTTGCCCTGTAGACTCAGGCCAGCTTCACATCTGCCTCTGTCTTTGGTGGACATTCCACAGTCCTTACGTCTCAAATATACTGAGGTTTCCACTGCGACTACTGAGGCTGCACCCTCACCAGTGGCCTCTCTGCAGGGACCCCACCCTGCCACACCATGCCAAGCTTCAGCTTCTCTTCCTGATCCCTTCAGCCCTTCCGTTTTCATGCTGGCAAAATCAGTATCATATGGGAGACTCTTGCACATTACGAAGTTCAGCTTTCAGCTGGGGATGCAGCTTTACGTGGCTTGGACCACAACTTCTGTGTGATGACCCTCAGGAAAACCTTTGCAGATTTCATCCAATGATGCTGATGTTGTTTTAATCACTGCCGACTTTTCAGCCTCAATTAACCAGCATCCATTGTCCCAGTAAACCAAAGGTTTCACTTGAGTGGTTCTGATCTCTTGTTAATCGCGGAGTCTTCAGCCCTACTCTAGCTAGCCAATAACCACAGATTCTTAATTCAAAAACGCCACACAAACAGTCACAATAGAGTCCTTCCTTTCCTCTGAAACTTCACAAATCATGCCTCCAAAGTCTACATTTCTCTCAACATCCTTATCTTCCAAGCTCCCACCAAACAGCCTATTAAACTCTGAGCACTCAATGGATTTTCCAGCCCAAATTTCCAACACTTCCACAATTCTCCTCCCAAAACACGGTTAGGTCTGTCACAGCAACGCCCTGCTCCTGGTTCCATTTAAATATTTTATGCGTCTGTGATAAAATGCCATGACCAAAAGCAACTTGGAGAAGAAAGGGTTCATTTCAACTAACAGATTACAGGTTTTGAGAGAAGCCATGGCAGGAGCTCAGGCAGGAACTGGAGCCAAGAACATGGAGGAACACTGCTTACCCCTTGCTCTTTCTGCCTTATGCTCAGTATGCTTTCTGTACAACCCAGGACCAAGTACCCAGGGGTAGTAGCATCTACAATGAGCTGTGCACTCTTACATCAATTATTAATAACACATACACACACAACACATACATACACACATACACAAATATACATACACACATACACATACATACACATATACATATATACACATATGCACACACATACACATGCCTACACATACATATACACACACGCACACACATACACACACATGCATGCATACATACGCACACCCCCCACACATGCACACACATGCACATACACACATACACATGCGTACACATACATACACACATACACA